AGGGGAGTGTTTGCTCTGCAAAGGGCTTCTCTGCTGGGGCGTGGCGGGGGCTCTGGTCCCTGCTAGGGCACTATGGGACTCCAGGCCCATGGGCTCCACTTCCTGGTGTCTACAGATGGCACTCTGCCCAGATCCATGCCCTGTGCCCAGAGTCAGCGTCCTGGGTGGGGGTCCATGCCACATAGCCCCTGCCCTCCCTGGGCAGGTACAGCACGAGTGGCCTCATGTTCAGGGGATCATTGTGCAAGGGGTTTTGTTTTATTCACATCAGTGTCCCCTTTCTGGAAATGGCACCTGGATGTAGTAAGTGTCCAGGAAATAAGTGGATTGTTTGAGAAAGTGAAATGGAAAATACTGTATATAAACTGGGGAAACAAGAGCCATGTGTGAGTTTTTGAGCAAAAACAAGTCTCTGTTGATCATTTTAGGTCCCATGCGTAGGAAGGGGACACATGGGGACCCCATATGTGGCTTCTCTGTGAGTGCTGTCCCAGCAGTGCTACCTGATTGCTCTTTTTGATCCACCAAACTGGAGATCAAATTGGGAAGCATCATCTATCTTACCTGAAGTCCTCGCCATTTTAGTCCAGAAACCTGAGGAGGAGTCATAAATAGGCTTCTTGATGACAACGTAAGCTTAATTTTTCATTTACCTGCAGCTAATAACAGATGGGCAGGCCTCCCTGGCCCCCAGGAGCTGAAAGGAAGAGAAAGGGCTTCCCAGTGACAGGATAATTTGTCAGAAAGTTATGAGTGCGTCCAGCAGGGCTATATAGGAAGTGTATATTGAACAATATGACACACCGGCTCCTAATTGCTACTGCCTTTCTGATCAATAATACATGTTTTCAAAAAGCCTTCTGTTTGCATTTACACAATGGACTGTAACTACTGCAAAGCATCCATTAAGACCTATTTTTAAAAGTGCATTCGTAAAAAGTTGTCTAAATCTGCATTACAAGGCAGATTATGAAGCTGCCTTGGGAGATGTTTTTTTCTGAGAGGCGGTTCAGGCCACATCTGCCGACCCGGCCTGCAACTGAGCTTCTGTCTCTAGGCTGGCACAGAGGCACTGGGAGGTCCGGGCTTCTCCTGTGACTCACAGGCCCAGCGACATGGTGTGCAGAGGCCAGGATGTTGCTACTCTTGTGCGTGTAAAGGTCACTAGGAGGTCTATTGCAATGCAGACAGCTCTGGGGTTCTGGGCTGTCTGCCCCAGAAGGAACCAAGCCTGGGCCAAGTGAAGGGTGGAAGACAGCTGTTAGTTGTGGCAGCCAGGCTTGTGTTTCCCACACAGGTGTGGTTGTTACCTGGGCAGGTGGGAAGCCCAGAGAAGAGAGAAGTGGGTGGTTTGGGATTAGGGCCACCTGGCTTTCAGTGCTGCCCTAGCAACGTCCTCTGGCTTTAGCCCTCACAGCTGCGGGGTGAATGGTACTAACAAGGGTCGCCCTGCCTGGGGCTCTTTATGGACTGGCTAGCTTGACCTCAGGTAACCTGGGAAAGAGGGACTTGCCTTCCCACAGAGGCCCCAAAGCAGATAACTTGCCCCATTCATCACCTCACACCACGCCTCTCCCTGGCCAGCCCCGGGGCAGTTTAGATGGAGAGTCTAGAAAAGCAATCTGCTGAGCCCATCCCCCACAGTCACCCCGTGCTGTGAGGCCACCTTGATGCAGCAGACTCCTCCCAGAGAAGCGGGCAGAGGGATGAGGAAGTTCAGAGGAGAAACCTGGCTCAGGAGGGACACATGGAGAGCAACAAGGCAGAGAGAAGACGGGGAACACAGGCGGCTCTGCCCTAACCTCAGGTTGCATGGAGACAGCAGCTGCCCGGCTGCTCTGACTGGGGATCTGGGGCTCAAACCAGGCGCTGTGTCAATCAGCTTCCCCTACATCAACAACCCAGAGGAAGATCAGCTTGTCTGGGTTGGAGGTTGCAGAGGTTTCCAGGTGACAGGGACACTTCCCAGTGGAAGGGCATCAAGGAGCAAAGCTGCTCCCCCCAGAGCAGCCCGGATGCACAGAGGGGAAGGGCTGGGGCCCAGATAGGGTCCCCAAGTCACACGTCCATGACCCACTCCCTTGATTGAGGCCTTACCTCCCAGGAATGTCACCAACCATGATCCCCTCAGCGAATGGACCCCCTAATGTGGTCAGATGCCTCCCACCCCGCATCATCCAGGCAGCTTCCAAAGCCCCACCTCTAGCTCTTCAGTTTTGGGGAAACTGTGGATCCCAACCCTAACAAGCCCACCCACCTTAGGGTCCAGACAGGTGCAAGAGTCTTGCTGGCCAGCCTTCTGGCCATGCCTCCTAAGAGCTGGAGGAGGCCTGTATGCTAACAAGGAGGACACATTCGCATATTTGACAAGGGTTGTCCTCCAGGCCAAGTGGGGGAGGGCATGATTTTCTCCTTCCAGCTGCCCTGGAAGGAAGTCACCAGCAGGGGCAGGGAACAACAGACCTGACCCACCTCAGCACCCTAAAGGAAGGAAACTGAGGCATCAGGCAGTTTCGTATCTCAACATTTATGCTTCCCACCAGAGTCACACCACCTGCAGGAGGGACTCAAGCCCCGACCACACTTCACACTGGTGGCCTCAGCCACCAGTTCCAGGTCACTGCCAGGCCTCCAGTGCCCCCAGGGCTGGGCTGTGCTCTGGGATCTATGACTGACCCCTGCATGACTCCCAGCCAGGGTTCCTGTCCCTGCCCTGGCTATCTTGGCGCCTCTGGACACCTACATCAGCCAGTCTGTGGTCCAGCACAGGCCTCCCAGCAGTAGCTCCTCCCCACTGCAAGGCTGCATAGGATGTGCGGCCAGGCAGAGCCACCTTGTATCCTCCCTTCCCATGTTGCGTTTTGGGGCTGGATGCAGGGTCCGATCAGATGGCCTTCACACTTGGCCTCGCTCCAGGATGCCCTGAGAGCTGCCCACCCCGATCTTCACAGCCACCACAGGAGGACATGAATTTGTCCCCATGTGGCAGATGACAAAGCTGAGGCTCAGAGGTAGTGATTTGTGCAGTTGCACAAATGACAGAATCCAAGCTCAACAGAAGCAGCCCAGGAAACTTCCTCTCCACAGACATGGTTCATGGCTGGGGCTGGGGCTCCTGATACAGTGCTGCCCTAGTGTGCACCAGACACTGAGTTTCATCCCCAGCACTGCAAAACCAAGAAGCAGAGCAATGCACATGTGCTCTGCCCAGGCTGAGATGTGGTGTGCTGGCCTTGCCATGCATGCCCACCTCGCCCTCTTGATGTTTTTCCTCTTCCTCTGAGAGACAGCAGCCTACAGCTGGGGAAACCGAGACTCAGGGGACCTGTGCCCGAGACAGAGGCAGTGAGGTGGGCCTCCAGCTAGCACAGGTGTTTGTGGCTCCACGCTTGCACAGCAGGGCCTGGCATGGTACCACTTCCGGGCCAGGTAAGGAAGCTCCCTCTTGCCTCCAAGGTTCTGGTCCTGCTCCAATGCCCCAGGCCAGCAGGCTGAACTTCCCCTCTGTCCTCGGCTCAGTGCCCCTCCCTCTGGGCGGTTCCCTGGGTACCCACTGGGGTGGGAACATACACCGGAGCATGTCTTCTTGTGTGAGCAAGACCTGTGTGTGTACACGTGTGTGTGCAGGGATTCACTCCCCCTAGGCCTTCTGTGATGGAACGAGCAAGACCCCACCATAGTGCAGGGGACGGGAGTGGAAGAGCCCAGCCAGATGTCAGTCTAGCCAAGGTCAGGCAAGCCCTGGCCAGGGGTCTTCAGACAGGAATGGGTCCAATCTCCCTTTCTCCCTGCTCCTCCCGGTGGCAGCCCCGGAGCTGACTACAGAGTCCCAGCTCCCTCTCTAAGCAGGGCTCCCTGGGCAAAGGCTGAGGGTTCGGCAAGAAGCCCATGCCTCCAGACCACCGGAGGGACACCACGGCCATTGCCAGCTCCTGTGAGCAGACGGCAGACAGAACAGGGCCCAGGGTCCAGGATGGTGGCTGCCCTGGCTGGCAGGCCTGTGGCCTGGCCGCCCACTGTAGGCAGTGGAATGGACATCTCAGCTGGCCCCGGCCCAAGCCAGCTCTCCTGGCAGCCCCTCCTCCCCAGTGACTTCACTTTGACTTCATCTCTGCAGAGCGCTGTGATGTGTGCTGCGCTTACTCAGCCAGCCCCAGGCGTAGGGAGGGGCAGCAGGGAAGGGGTCGCCTGCACCTCAGGCCTGGGTCTCCCCCACCCCTGCGCCCCAGGAGCCGGGCCTCCGAGGACGATCCAGTGGGAAGCGGGAAGCGGGAAGCGGAGAGTCCTCCACAGCCGGCCTCGCCCACACCTCCCTAGCAGGCCCAAGGCTTCCTATCTGCGCGTTCATAGGCATCATTTCTTTGGGGGAACTTCGCTAGCCCCGCCCTAAAGCACCTCGCTAGGCCGCCGCTCTTGCCCTGGAGGGAGGTGTGCCGGAGTAGGATTCACAGTCCAGCCCGGGGACCCCGCCCCTCTCTGCGCCCTGGGACTGCGGACCACACCTCTCCGCGCCCCTGAGCCGCCCCGGGGACAGGGCCCGCGCTCGGGCGGTTGGAGGACCTCGTCTCTGGGTCCTTTTCGCGCGCAGCAAGAAAGGGTGAGTTGGGACCACAGGCTGGGCGAGCAGCGAGAGGGCAGCTGTGCGCGGGGGCGCGGCCCGGCTGCATTGGACCCCGAGTACGGAAGGACCCAACTACCGGGGACCCCGCGCCCCGCGGCGCA